TTAAAAACATGCTACTAGTGTAGTGTCACTAAAGTATAAATTTGTTGTAATGGCATTTTTGTTGTGGTGAAGTGACACTTTTTTTAATTGAAATGCCACTAGAGCCTTGTATGTTTGTGGCTCTATGACATTTTTCTAAAAAATGCCACCAAATATTCTTTTTGTGACATTTTTTAAGAACATGCCACTAGTATGGTGTCACTAAAATATGTTTTTGTTGTAGTGTTGTGACACTTGTTCATTGAAATGTCACTAGAGCCTTTTATGTTTGTCGTTTTGTGGCATTTTTCAAAAACGTGCCACTAAATATCATTTTTGTGGCATTTTCTAAAAATATGCCACTAGTGTAGTGCCACTAAAGTATGTTTTTGTTGTAGTTTTGTGACACTTGTTCATTGAAATGTCACTAGAGCCTTTTATGTTTGTCGTTTTGTGGCATTTTTAAAAAGCGTGCCACTAAATATCATTTTTTGTGACATTTTCTAAAAATATGCCATTAGTGTAGTGCCACTAAAATATGTTTTTGTTGTAGTGCTAAAATTAAATTCTAATTTTTTGGAATTTGAATTTCGAAAATTAAATTCAAAAATTGATTGTCACACTTGTCCAGTTTTTTCCCCACTCGAACAGATGTATATCTATTTGAATTTAAACCAAACAGATTCATATCTATTCAAAATTTAAACCCAATAGGTTCCCTACCTGTTCATTCAAACCGAATAGGTATAATACATGTTCAAATAGGTTTGCACCTGTTTAATTCAAACCAAACAGTTATAAAATTCTCCTATAAATAGATAGACCCTCATTTGGATTTTGCATTTAGAAAATTTTGTTATTCTTTTGTAATTACTCTTTGCATTTTGCTGCATTCAATTTTTCTATAAAAAGAGTGTATACGCAAAGTGTGTTTGTTGTGCGAATAATTTGTAGTGCTGCAATTATTTGTTATTGATCATTTTATCCTGAGAGATAGACGTCCGCAATCTAAAAGTACCGTGGAGAGAACGAATCTGTCTTAAGGATACAGTGTTAAACACTGAACTTGATCAGAATTTTATTCAATAAATACATAAGGTTAGTAATTAATTTACTTTATGTTTTATTTATTTATTTTTATTAGATTCTGATTTTGTTTTTGTTATAAAATAAGAATCTATTATTTTATATTATTTTCTTTACTGGTTTGATTTTTGTAATCAAACAGTCTCTCTCTTTCTTTATTTCTTCTGTTTGTTGTTAAGTACACAAATATTATTTATTCTTAATCAACAGTTGCCACCAGAAAATTCTTATAATTTTAATTTTTTTAATATAATATATAATATTTTTCATATTTTTTTTAGAGTGTGGTCGCCCCCTAGATCCCTCCTTGGACCAATCAATGTGCTTTTCAATCTTGAGAGACAAGATCGTTTGAGTTTATTTTACAGAAAAGAAGAAGAAAAAAAAAATAAAAATCATAAAACGACATTGTTTTAACAGATCGGTGTGCTTTTCAATCTCGAGAGACAAGTATCGTTTGAGTTTATTTTACAGAAAATAAGAAGAAGAAAAAGAAAATCATTAAACGACATCATTTTAACGGAACAACAGGCACAACAAAGAGCTGATTACAGTAGTGACCCATTAAGCTTCATCCATGGTTGTCGCCATTACTATCTCTATCAACCATCCTAACTCCTTCCCTTCATAAGTTTCCACAGGTAGCCCCAATCTCTCTCTTCCTTTAGCTATAAGGGTGGACATTGGCTCGTTCGTCTGTCCAACTTGCCCGACTTAGTCCTATTTTTTTAGGACTTGGGAAGGTTATTTTAACCCATAAGGTCAAATTGGGTCAACATTTTGAACCCGATATATTAATGGGCTGGATTTGGGATTTATATTTTTAACCTGGTTCGACCCATTATTCAATTAATTAATTAATTAATTATAATATATTAAAAAATATATTTTTTGTTGGGATGTAAACTTTATCTTTATTGATTTTACTAAAATTTACATTTATGATAATGTGTAATTAAATTTATTTAAGAAATTCTTCAATTTATACACAAAATCTTTCAATTTATAATGATATCAATATATTTATTTAAAAAATATAATGTGTGATTGAATTTAATTATGAAATATTTTAATCATTTTTTAATTTTTTAACCTGATGAGTGGGCTCGTGATTTATAATTATTTTTTGAGCTGAACTTGGTCAAATGTAAAGGCTCGATATTAAGACCCAATCAAGCTTAGATAAACACAAAATTCTTTGTTACATTGTACCGACCTCGCCCAACATATGTCCACCCCAATTTGGCCATAACCTCCTTTCTTTCACTAGCATTTGATCATACTCACAACTCTATTTATATCTCCAATGACGATACCCTATCTGTTTTTCTGCTTGCAGCTCTCTCATTCTCTAATTTTTTTTCCTCTAATATATATATATATATATATATATTTCCTGCTGGTCTATCTCTTTTGATTTGCTTGCAAGCTAAGTAGGGGAAGAAAATGAAACTCTGAGTGACGGTGGAAAAGAGGGTTGGGGCTAATTTAAATCATTAAAAGATAAAATAAATTAAAATGTCAATAAGATAAAATATTATATTTAAATCATGATTATTTTATTTTTTCTCTCACAAAGGGTTGTTTTGATAAGATGGTTAAAAGCTGACTTTTTAATTTTTTTGATTTTTTTTAAAAAAATGTGTAAAAAATATGAGAGATGATGTGATGTGACTTAAAATGAATTAAAAATTAAAAGACGGATTTTAATCATTTTTTCAAAATAACCCATTACAAAAAGTCAAAATTTTTTTCTAAATGAGACTTTATTAGGTTTAAATAATAAAAAAAAATCAACTAATTTTTTTTTTTTCTTCCAAATGAAAGCTAAAAGACGAGAGGACTATGGGCTGAGAGTGACAAAAGGAAAGGGGCGAGAGGTGACCTGGATGGTTGAATGGGTGAGATAAGTTTGAAATTAAAATTAAAGTGTTAAAACAAAAAGGAAAAAAAAATCTAAGTATAAAGTGTTTTAAGAAATGAGTGTTGAATAATTATTTTAAAGTGTATTTAAAGGCTAAAGGAAAGAGGCAAGAGGTGACCTGGATGGTTGAATGGGTGAGTTGGGCAAGATAAGATTGAAATTAGTTAAAGAGTTAAAAAAAAAAAAAGTTTAGTATAAAGTGTTTTAAGAAATGAGCGTCGGATAATTATTTTAAAGTGCATTTAAAGGCTAAAGGAAAGAGGCGAGAGGTGACCTGGATGGTTGAATGGGTGATCTGGGGAAAAAGGGTCATTGATGTGCTAAAAGTATGGTAGTGATTATGATGCCTCTATTTGAGTTGTATTATGATTTTATTTTTATAATTTAAATCGTTCATTTTGTAGAGTTTGTTAAATACTTCATACTTATTAAAAATCATATTAATCGGATATCAATAACTATATGATCGAGTTGCATATTGTTTATATTATTTCTCAAAAGAAAAACTTATTATTTATTTTTTTGGTTATCGATCATATAGTTGTTGATATCTGATTAATATAATTTTTGGTAGACATGAAGTATTCAACAAATCCTACAAAATGAACGATTTGGATTATAAAAATAAGACCATAATACATCTTAAATAGAGGTACCATGATTACTATTGTGCTTTTAGTGCGACAGTGATCCCAGTTGTGTGAGATAAGATTGAAATTAATTAAAGTGTTAAAAAAAAAAGAAAGAAGAATTTAAATATAAAGTGTTTTAAGAAATGAGTGCCGAATAATTATTTTAAAGTGCATATAAAGGTTATTCCTGTGACTCACCTAGCATTTATGGGGCGAGGACTGTGTATCGATTGGAATCGCGATGTAGTCTGAAGTCGAATTGGATAGTCTAATCCAGTGTATTGGGTTTATTTTTTAAATTCGTTTCGATAATTTAAATTGTTTATATTTTAAAATTCATCGAGTATATTATTTTTACAAAAAATTAATTTGATCAGATAACGATAATAACGTATTCGGATCAATTTTATATGAATTGTTTATTTTTTCATTATTTATTTTTGTAATACCAAATTGATCTGAACATGTGGTTGCAGTTATCCGAGCGACTTGATTTTTTGCAGGAATAGTGTACTCGACGAATCTTAAAATATGAACGATTTGAATTATTAAAATAAGACTAAAAAATAGACCCAATAAACCAAACAATACTTCTCCAATCCGATGCCAGTCCCTATCGAAAATTAGTGGTGCTGGACCTCTAAGCACGAAAAAAAAAAAAATTGAAAAATGAGAATCAAAAGTGTAATATCACTCAAACTATTGGATTACTGCTGTAAAATTATTATTTGAAAAATTCTATTTGCCCGTCACAAGAAATCTCATCACATATCATTTATTTTGTTTGAACAAAAAATAATATTCAGAAATAAAATAATAATAAAAATAAAAATCTCAAATAAATATTTGATTTAATTATTTTTTTGATCGACGAAAATAAATAATTAGTTGTTAAATTGATACCTCGAGTGAGTTAGAACTCATAGACGTATACTTTGCAAGAAAATCTAACTTTCTTATTCCACTCCTAAGACCTCCCCACCCAGAGAGACTAGATGGCCAAAGCTGATTTAATTTTTTATATTCAAATAATTACTTTTGTTTTAATATAAATTTATATTGAAATATTTAAATTTTGTTTAAAAATTTATATTAAAATGATATAAATAATATGTACTAAATGCTCGTTTGGAATGAGTTTTTTAATTTAATTTTTTTTGACTATTTTAATTTGGTTAAAAAAATTATACTTGAGATAATTTCTAATTTTTATTTATAATTAATTTGATAATTATAAAAATAATAATTATAATTTAAATGTAATATTTTACCTTATTAATTATTTTATTTTATTTTTATTATTTTAACCAAAAACTTGCATCCAAACGAGACTTAAATTTTTTTAATATCTTACTATTATTTCAGCCTTAAAATAACCCGGGAACGTCCTCGTTCTGCAACGCTGCAACCAGCCTCCCTTTCTCTCTCGCACTAAAACTATATATATATATATATCTGCTTCACTTTCTATCTCTCTCGATATATCTACTGTTCGTCTACATAGATTGCATCGCTTTTTTTCCTTATTTGTTGGTGATTGAATCGCAATGGCAGTGAAGGGTTTGTGGGGATCCATTGATGAGTTCTTGAAACAGTGCGAGCTGTCCAGTGACTCAGCGTACAGTGCGCTCAGATCACTGCTCGAGAGGCTCGAAGATGCGAAAACCCGAGTCCAAGCTCGGATCTTCTTGTCTGATCTCCAGAAACGTTTCGATGCCAAGGAAGCCCCAGAGGAGCAATGCCTCCAGACCTATCATTTCCTCATTCAAGATATCTATCTTGAGCAATATGAAGGTATCTATCGATCAAACTTTCAATTTTCTTAGAAGTAGATACGTACATATACATACATGCATTTGTATATTTGGTAGCTGCTCTGTGTTCATGAATAACAATATCCGAAATTTGTTTTGAAATTTTGATAGCAAATCAGTAAGGCAATGAATGATCAAATAAGAATCATTTGCAACATGTTTTACTTTTGTACATTACTATATATATATATAGTGATTGGATTCTGTCAAATTCGCCATCCAAATTGAGAATGCTTTTGGGTTTGGGTTTGGTGGGTCCATTTTAGGGCCGATGATCAAAATCGTTCAAAGGACTTGTTGAGTAGAATATTTATATAAAAAATTAAGGTGACTGGATATCATTAATTATATGTTTGAGTCACATTTGTTTTAAAAAAGATAGACGACTATTATAATTTCAAGAATATCTATCCATTCTTTGTAATACCAATGTGTGTAAAACATATAGCTACCATTGTCCGATCATCTTAATTTTTTACATAAATATTCTATTTAATGAGTGTTAAAAAGTGAACAGTTCATATCATTAAGTCGGCCCCAAAATGGGCCAACAAAGCCAAACGTTCTCTCAAGTTGGATAGCCAACTTGAGAGAATCCAATCACTATATATATATAGATCCTTGTTGTTTGTTCTTTTATTTTATTTTATTTATTTATCTTAACTGTCTTACATTTGGACCCAAAAAAAAGTATTTCAATTTCTTGGGGATATTGGGTCTTTGAAACTTCTCATGAATTTGTAGTGAAGTTTTCGTGGAAGATACATGTTATACCGAGTTTCAGTGATTTATATATTCTAATTGATTGCTATCTTTGGAAAATGAATAACAAAGCCATCCAATGCTTTATTCTAACATTTGTGACATTCTATGAGTTATCTTAATCATTTTGGATGGCTCTTTGGTTTTATATGTTCCTCTGTTCTGTGGGTCTGACACCCTTGTGATACCTTCAATTTACAGCATATGAGTTTTTTATTTTTTATTTTTTCTAGAAGTACTTCAACTTACACAATCAAGAAAAATCAAGAGTCTTTTATTTTGGGTCTAATTTCTAGTAAAATGCACAAAATAAAATCCACAATTTAGCGACAATAGTGGGTCTTTTGTGGATTTCATTTTGCCCTCACCCAAGCAGGGGACTTTTAAACTACCCTCTGTTGTAAAGTAATACCTTGACAATACCAAGAAGAAGCCAGAGTGTAATTTTGGCTGAAAAAAGTTGTTACAACTCACTAGGACAGAGCAATTACACTGAAAGTAGCTACCACTTTAAACTGAAAAAATGTTAAAGATGATGGATAGACTGGAAAAACAGAAATGTGTTTCAAAGAAGAACAAAACATCATCTTTCTTCTTGTTTTCTGGATTCTTTGAAATGTATAATCCTGTCTCTCCGGCTTTGTTTTGAATGGACCATATCATCTGTTGGTATGTCAGCATAGAGATCAACTTCCAGCAGTGTTTCTCTACATTTCTGCTTCCTCGTTCCCCAAACTGAGCTTACATTATTGGAATTTGGTACTTTATTCTGACTTCCCCTTGAAGGACCCATATTTCCAAATGCCAGGAAGTTTGTAGTGTTTCACTTCTATATATGAAAGAGATTTGGGCAAGTTTTATTCATAGGTGCATATTTACACCATATATGTTGCCAAAATCAGACTCTTTGGGCATCACAGTGAGAAGCAAATATGCTTGAAAAATTATCCCACCCTCTCCTGATAGCCTTCTGCATCCCTGCCCCATGCAGACCTCCCACCTCTTTAAAAATTCAACCTCCTCCTTCCTCCACATGTACACAAGTTACCCATTTTCCAGTTAAATGGGCCCAGAAGGTATCTGTTAGCTAGAAAGGGTACCACTTGTTCTAGGTTTTTGAGTTTCTCCAGTCTTTTGACAATGTGAGTCTGAAACTATTTCAAATCTGTAGGTTAATCCTAAAGGAAAAACTAAATGAGTGGGAGCAAAGCCGAAGTTGCATCATTTTCCTAGTCAAGCCTCTGAATGCTCAACCTCTGCATCAAAATCCCAAGTTCACTCTCACTTCAAGAACACTTGTTGTAATGGAGGTTCTCAGTTGATTCATGCCAGTCCTATGAAAATGTTGTGACATCAGCTTACAATTAGGGTGATATCAACAGTGCCAGACTTCCTTTTCTACCCTCAGAAACAAAATAAGAACCCCTCAATGTTTATCACCTGGGAGTCTAGGAGACCTTTAGAAAGCATCATTGTTAGAAGGCTCCATAATCAGAATAAATAAGGGAAGATAGGACTTCCTTGTTCAATTCCCCTTAAAGAACCAAAAGAAATTGTTGGCCATGCATTGTGTATCAGCTCCACCGCCTACAACAGCTTCTTCCTTTTTAGCTCGTGGGCTCTGCATCCTAACATAAGCTCTGTGTTCCACTTTGGTTAGAAACAGGTTAGATATACTTGCCATCAGTTAGAAGAAGAACTCGGAGCAGCTGCAACCTCAATTGAGATGGTGAATTTTAATATCTACTTTGTCCATGTTTCTCCTAACCGTTTTTAACACATAAAAAGCCAAAAGAACGTGGTCATAAACCTTCTTAATATCTACTTTGCAAGTAACATCTTGTTCTCTGCTTTTGAGCCTCTGCTCTAAGTTTTCCTTTAACACAATAACCGCATTGTAATAGTAGGCCCTCTAAAAATGCCTTTGAGCGTCGCATGCTACCCTGCCACGACCTTTTGCAACTCTGGAAAGCAACTTTGCCAACTATTTATGAACAACCAACCATATGAATCAACCTGTAACCCTTAAGGACTGAAGCCCTTCCGATCAAAGATGTTTTAAACCCCTTCCAAATTCCTCTGTTTCATGAAAGTGATGGAACATTATTGAAATTCCTTGTTTTTGATTTCTGTCTTCTCAAGTCTTTTCACTCATTTATCCCAACATTGAGATAAAGTTACAAAATTTTAACTTGATCTTTTTATTTGTTTCCAACATTTTTAATTTATTCTGAATGATGGAATTATGGTTTTTAAAACGTTTGCTCACTCTGCTTGTTGCATCAGCTCTTTGATACTTTTCACTGCCCATTTCAGGTTACCAGAGGAGGAAGAAATTATCAATGATGGTGATCCCCAGCATCTTTATCCCAGAGGACTGGTCCTTCACTTTTTATGAGGGACTGAATAGACATCCTGACTCTATCTTTAAGGACAAGACGGTTGCTGAGCTTGGTTGTGGTAATGGATGGATATCCATTGCCCTTGCTGAGAAATGGTTGCCATTGAAGGTTTATAGTTTTTATCCTTTTAACATAGTACTTCATGATGTTTCTTTAATTCTTCCTATACCAGTGTAAGCTGAGCATGGACACTTCTATGGAGGAGACGTGTCATGTCGGACACTCGTGTTGGGGACAATACTCTGCAGACACTTTTTTTCAATGTGTCTTAATTAAAAATGTAAATTTATAATATCGGACACTTTACAAATATTTCTTGGACACTTCAGCAACCCTTCTTCAACCCTCCGAACATGACATATGTGATGAATCTCTTTATAGTAACAATGTTATGTATTCTTTGCAATACATCTTATTCACTGAAAATATATTTTGAAACATTTATAAGGTGAATGCATCATTTGTGTTTCTATATTCTAAAAATTGTTTTATATTATTTAGATTGCAATTGTTACATGAATGATATCTTGAAGTTTAAGTAATGAGATATATGGCTTTTAATTTTAATTAGCATTATGTTGCTTCACACCCCCCCCCCCCCCCAAAAAAAAAAAAAAAAAAACATTTCCTTTGAATAAAGTATTCATATATTTGACTTATGACAAGTTTATAAAAATATAAATTTTTAACATGTCCCAGACATGTTGTGCCTTTCATTTTTTGAAAATCGACGTGTCGGCGTGTCAGTGTCGTGTTGCATACTGTGTCTGTGTCTCTGCCACTTTGACAGCACCTAATATTTAATGGCTAATGTTGAACATATTTGTTGATATCTGTTTCATGGAGCTGTCTAACTAGTGTCTAAGTAACATTTCACAGGTGTATGGCCTTGATATCAATCCAAGAGCTATTAAGATATCTTGGATAAATTTATATCTAAATGCCCTGGATGAGAATGGTCAACCTATCTATGATGGGGAGGGGAAGACTTTACTGGAGAGGGTGGAGTTTCATGAATCTGATCTGCTAGGTTATTGTAGAGATCATAAAATAGAACTTGAACGAATTGTTGGATGCATACCTCAGGTATTTTATCACTCATATGATATTTTCTAGGGATTTTTTTTTTTTTTTTTTTTTTTTTTTTTTTTTTTTTTTTTTTATGAATAAAGTTCTCTATCTCCTTTTAAGATGATGTAAACTATTCCAGTGTTTTCTGAGTGCTGGTTAGAAGGTTTATATTTGTATAATCACTTTTAATTTCACTTGTTTCGCTTTCTTCTTGCAGATTCTTAACCCTAACCCAGATGCCATGTCCAAGATGATTACAGAAAATGCAAGCGAGGAATTTCTTCATTCATTGAGTAACTATTGTGCACTGCAGGTTGGAGAGATTCTAATGATTTTGATGATGCAACGTTTGAATTTTGTTAGGATATAAGCATGTCATGATTCTCACAATTGATAATTTAATGAGGAAGCAAATTATGTTATTTGGTGTTACATGTGCAAGCAGGATGGGAAATCTGTGAGCCATCTTCTTACCACAATGCCGTGGTGAGGGATTTGTGGTCTTTGATCCTTGACATGTTTGGCTTAGAGTGGGTTTTCACCCTGAAGGCGGCGGATCTTCTTTGTTCTTGGAGGGAAGCTAGAGTGCAATTGGAGAACTTTTGATGTGAAGGAATAGACCATGTTTAATTTGAAAACTAGAGTTTTATCTTCTTTGTATAGTTGGTTCTTACATACTATGATCCGTCCTTTTGAATCAAATTTTGGATTTTGTTGAGACTTTCGAGTAATGCTTTAATGCATTGATGATATAGGTCTTTCATCAATTTTTTGTATGTAGATTGCATCCCTAGTTGCCTCTTTTATAATAAATAAGTATGCCTAGTTTGCACACTTGTAGTCTAGTATGCACTAAATCATTTGGATGGCTGATCTATCTGTGCAGAGATACATTATTGTTCTCTTCTTTCTACTTATTGTTAGATGAATTATATTACTTGGTGTCTTGGTGTTTGGCTGAGGTCTAAATCCAGGTCAAGAATATGGAAATTCGGAAACACTAAATCTGTAAAGCATTTTTCTGCCCTGAATTATTGCCATGACCTTAATTCCAATAATTCATCTGCTATTATTTTCATTTTAGTCTTAGATGCATTTATTCAAACATATTTACACCATCCTCATCCATAATAATATAAGGATAGCCATGAATATGACTAATGGAACTTGACTAAAATTCATTTCTTTTAGAGATTGTGTTGGTTTAACATTGTATTTCATCTTCTGTTTAGGGCTTTGTTGAGGATCAGTTTGGCCTGGGTCTAATTGCCAGGGCAGTTGAAGAATCAATTTCTGTGATCAAACCTTTGGGGATTATGATCTTTAATATGGGAGGTCGTCCAGGACAAGGCGTTTGTAAACGCTTGTTTGAACGTCGTGGTCTCTCTGTTACCAAGCTTTGGCAGACTAAAATTCTTCAGGTAAGTGTACCCTTTTAAATGAAAATAATCTCTATACCAAAATATATACTTATTGAAATTTGTTGTTGCAGGCTGCTGACACAGATATTTCAGCTTTAGTTGAAATTGAGAAGAATAGTCCACATCGTTTTGAGTTCTTCATGGGGCTAGCTGGAGATCAGCCTATTTGTGCTCGAACAGCGTGGGCCTATGGAATGGCTGGTGGTCGTATTTCTCACGCATTATCAGTTTACAGCTGTCAACTTCGTCAACCGACTCATGTATACACTTTACATAAGTCTGCAACAGTTTTTTGATCTTGTATTAGTCTACATTTGAAGTTGTGGATTTTCATGCATTTGACGGGGCAGGAATACTGACTTTGCTTCCCTGGCAGGTTAAGATAATTTTTGATTTTCTGAAAAATGGGTTCCATGAGATCAGCAATTCTTTAGAATTATCTTTTGAGGATGATTCTGTTGCGGATGAGAAGATTCCATTCCTCGCTTATCTTTCCAGTGTTTTGAAAAATAGCTCATTTTTTCCATATGAGCCACCAGCTGGAAGCAAAAGATTTCGAAATCTCATTGCAGGATTTATGAAAACTTACCACCACATTCCACTTAATGCTGATGTAAGAGAACATTCATTGTTGAATTCAACTTTCCTTTTCTTTCATGCTTCAGCGTAAAACACTTTTTCTATCATTGATTACTCATTCAACTGGTCCTAATGGGTGTCTATTTGCCTGTTGGATGCTTGTAAGCATGTTCTATTCAGGGTGCCTTTTTTAAGTCATGTTAAACAAAGTAAAGATGGGGCAATGCCAATTGCGGGGTCTACACCTGAATCTCTTGAATGGTTGTTTAGTTGAAGAATGTGCACACACAGCACATACACACAAAAACATTTGTTATATATCAGGAGAAGCAATTAGAGAAAAGTCAATTCTTCTGATTGAAATTGAATTGAAGCAATAAAAGATTGACAATAAACTTTTTCACAGATGTAAAGACAATCTGAAAAAAAAATAAAAAATAAAAAATTGTTATGCAATGTTTGGTGTGAGCAAACAACTTTTTTGATGCCATAGAATTTCTGTTCATATACTAGTTTATCTGCTATCTACACCAAAAACCCATGGTTGACCATTTATAGTGAAATGAAAGTTGCAGGACTTAACTCACTCTCTGATTTGATGCTTACAGAGTTTCAATTTCAGTAAACTAGTTGGCTTAAATTTTTGTAATTTAAACTAATGTTGTGTGTTGTGGTAATAAATTTGCATGAATATTTTTGCAATCTAAAAGAGACAAGGTACCTGCAAGCTTTATTATTATTATTATTTTTAAGAATCAGTTTGATCCTTCTACATGAATAATATTACCTCCTTTGGTACTATATATATGTTGGTATACCTTCCATACTGCATAAGCTAAGCTGCATTCCTGACTTCCTTGATTTCAATTCTTGTGCAAGAATGTTGTTGTATTTCCTTCAAGGGCTATGGCTATAGAGAATGCTCTACGATTATTCTCACCACGACTTGCCATTGTTGATGAACATCTGACCCGACACCTACCTAGGCAATGGTTAACTTCATTGGCAATTGAGGTACGCATATTTGTGATGGTTTCATAAATATGCCTTTTATGCTTTTATATTTCATTTCCTTGTTTTATTAGAGAAGCAATTTGAGTTTTAATTGTCTTGGTTATGACTTCCTAATCACTTCAGTACCATCAGCCATATAAGATTCTGTTCATAGATCAGCCAGATAAGTTTCTGTCTTCCTCATAGGTTCCCACACTTTGGTGTGTAACTTCAAGGCTACTGATCTTTGGAGAAATCTTGTCCTAAATATTATGATTCCATTTGAAATTTGTTTTATTTTATTTATTCATTTATTTTTATTTTCTTGGAATTGATGTTGTTTTAGATTTTAGCATATAATCTCCTTTTGACGTGAAGCTTTGCATTTAACATTGAAGTTCAGATGTCAATTTGAAATATTTGAAGCAGAGAAAATATTTATAAATAAGAAAAAACAAACACAAAAACAAAAACAAAAAAACTTGGATACAAAAGAAATGAATCATGAAAAAAGGAGATTGATTATGGTGGACCTATAGATAAGGTAAAAAATTTTTTTGGAGTTGGCTTATTGAAGAGTTTAGAAAGGCTTGGTCTGACTTTTTTAGCCATGCAATATTTGTGATTGGTAATGCCAGATAGTCAGGTTTTGGCGTGACATATGGTGTAAGGAGACTCCATTGAGAAATTTACAAAGTTGTTTAGGGGGAATTTGGTATCGTTTTTCTATCCAAAACAATTTGTTAAAAACACGAAAAACAGAAATTGACAGGGAAAGCTTGTTTGGAAAAATGTTTCTAGAAGCTTTCGGGAATTTTTTTGAAAACACCCATCTTTTAGGAAATGCTTTTAAGTTGTTTTCTAAATTTTTGAAAACTGTTTGTGCACAAAAATAAAAATGATTTGTGTTTTCGTACTTTTCATTGTTTTTGTTTCCAAAAAGGCTATGAAGCATGGACACTTCAAAATAGGTGCTGCAGTAGTATCGGACACGAGGAGACGCCAAGGATACAGACGGGACACGCCACGTGGTGTGTCCCTTTATTTTTATTATGTTTTTGCATGGGACATGGCGGATTTTTTATTTTATTTTTTTAAATTTTTTTGTAAATGTCTTTTGCGGTCAAAGTGTAAAATTATGAAAGTAAAAAAAGACAAGCATAATCCAACCTCTGCTTTTGCCCTAAATCCCTAAATCAGAAGAACAAAAGAGAAGAAAAGAAATCAAAAGCTCCAGTCGTCTCTCTCTTGCCTCTCGGAAAAACAGCAAGTCTTTCTCTCTTCTCTCTCACCTCTCGCCTCTGTCTTCTCTTCTGAAGCTCTCTTTTCTTTTTTTAAATTTGTTTTAATTTGTTTTCTGATTATACATATACTACATGTTTCTTTCTCTATTTATTTTTTTCTCTATTTTTGTAATTGTGATTAATATTTTATTTTTCAATTAGTGGTTTTTATATATATTGAATTAATGTTAGTTTTTATTAATTTTGATTGTTTGGTAACATAATATTAATCTATATTGCAAATATATAAAATAATAAAAAAATTTCGTGTCCCCGCCCTATCCTTGTCCCCATTTTTTTGAAATCACCGTGTCCCGTATCCGTGTCCGTGTTCGTACTTCATAGCAAAAGAGTGAAAAATGAAAATGAAAGATCAGAAGTGGAAATGATAACTGACCATTAGTTTTGCAATCTATAAATGCATGTGTTGGATTACATAAGATGATCCGAGTAGGGTGTTGTGCAGGAGCCATGGTTGTAAGTAATGGTGGCAGCCACCATAACAGTCATGATGGCCCTGATATGGTTCCGAGGTGTAATGGCAGTAGCGTAATGGTGGTGGCATAAGATGATCCGAGTAGGGTGTTGTTCAGGAGCCATGGTTGTAAGTAATGGTGGCAGCCACCATAACAGTCATGATGGCCCTGATGTGGTTCCGAGGTGTAATGGCAGTAGCGAAATGGTGGTGGCAATTGGAACTAGGAGTTTTTTGTTTACTGCGCAACTTCAAAAAAACTTAGCGATATGCATGTTTTTATTTTAGAATTACATTTCGTAGGGTTTAAAATGGGTTTTGTTTAATTTTTAAACATGATCCAATACTTGTACTGATTTTTACACTAGTTTTAAATCTATGGAAAATTTTGCTTTTGTTGGATGTAGTTATCTTACTATTCGGATTATACTAATAGAACTTCTCCCTTCTTTTGAAAAAAAAAGAAAAGAAAAGTAAAAAACAAAATTCATGAAATATTTTAAAGATTAAAAATGATAGTATCATAAATATAAGTTCATAATACAAAATGTCAACATACTAGTGTAACGGTGGATGATAAGACATCTAAATTTTGTTAAACAAATCAAACTTAAAACCAAATAAACCATAAGTTAATAATTAAAGAATCAAATGATGATGTAATGAAAGATTCCTGATCAAAAAAGAAGTAATGGAAGTTTGGAAGAAAAAAGAAAAAAGAAAAAAGAAGGATCACTAAGTTCATTTAAAAGTGTATTTTATGAACCCCAAACCCTTTAAAAATGCATTTTATTAACAAATTTCTTTGTAGTCTAGCTCCTTAGTTTCATAACCTTGACTTTTTAAAGGGTTAATAGCATAGCTCAGGCTCAGGTAATTTTTTTTTTTTTTTCTTTTCTTTTAATCAAGTTGCCAATTACAGTCACCATCACTACCATCGTCGTCATTAAAACCGCACCCAAGGCAATGAAACCATAATAGACTGTTGTGACATTTAAAGTTTTCCTTCTCTTGCTTCTGATAAAATTTTATTTGTTCTGCAAACTAGTCATTTTATCGTTTTGTTCTTTTAACCTTTACACCTTCAAGGATACTTTTGCCGCAATCAACTTTTTTTCTAATTAGCATATTTATATATTTTGTCTCTCTTAATATATGTTGTCTAACATTCTTGAATCTTGATTATTGATCAGAATATGGTGCAAACTTATTTAGTGTATATAGTGATATTGGTTTTACATTCATACCTGTTGAGTTAGAAACATCAAATATCATAGATTATTTCGTTATGTTTATAATTGGAGCCCATTTTGGTTTTTGTAGTGTTGAATCTGTGTATGCTTACTATTGTGTAAAGGATTAGTGAATAATTTTGAAGAAACAGCATTACTTTTGCTTCACATGGTATTTTGTACATTCAGTGGAGGATTTGTGTTGAATTCTAGGGGAAAACTATGACCAGAATCAGTTCTTTGGGGTTTTGAAATGTCCTCAAGTGTTTCTTTTGTTGATTAATTTGATGGCTGTTTTGGCTGCTGCATTGGATTCCCGATAAGTACTTCTTCGTTGCAGAATACAAAAGCTGATAAACTCCCAGAGGATGTTCTCACTGTAATTGAAGCCCCACGCCAGTCGGATTTGATGATAGAGCTGATTAAAAAGTTGAAGCCACAGGTGGTAGTTACTGGAATCGCTCAATTTGAGGCCATTACTAGTTCTGCTTTTCAGCACCTTTTAGAGACTACAAGGGAAATTGGAGCTCGTATTTTCTTAGACATATCAGACCATTTTGAGCTATCCAGTCTCCCTAGTTCCAATGGGGTTCTGAAATATCTTGCAGGAAATTATCTGCCCCCTCATGCATCAATTATATGTGGTTTATTAAAAAATCAGGTATTTTTTCTTTTAATTTGAGCAACTGATGTAATTTGGTAGTAGCAGGTGACAGTTTTCTATGTGCTTAAACTAAACTAGAGAGTCCTTGAAATGATTTCAGATTCACTTTTACCTGTTTAATGGATGAATTACTCTTCTAATATTGGTAGCCAATTTCTCTTTCCAGGTTTATTCAGATTTGGAAGTGGCTTTTGTGATATCTGAAGAGGAGAGCATGTTCAAAGCATTGTCCAAGACTGTGGAACTACTAGAAGGGAATACTGCACTAACTAGTCAATACTATTATGGTTGTCTTTTCCATGACCTTCTAGCCTTTCAGCTTGCTGATCGACATCCACCTGCAGAGGTTAACTTTCCTTACGCTCCTACTTTAATTTTAAAGATAATCGTTCCTAATATTCTTTTGATTATCTTGTAGGTGTAAAAGCTATTCTTCTTTGATAATTTAACTCTTCCTTGTGGGCCACTTGGGATTTTTATATTAAGCTTGACAGAGTTCATTTTGGAACGTCGTATCTATTTCCTATTTCTATTTAGGAGCTCTCTGCAATTCCCAGTGAGGTGGTAGTGGTGTAGTGGGTTAGGTTTAGTGGAGTAGGTTTAAGTGGGTGAAGTAGGTGGAGAGTAGGTGGATTTTAACAGAAGAACAAAAGAGAAGAAAAGAAATCAAAAGCTCCAGTCGTCTCTCTCTCGCCTCTCGGAAAACACAGTAAGTCTTTCTCTCTTCTCTCTCACCTCTTGCCTCTGTCTTCTCTTCTGAAGCTCTCTTTTCTTTTTTTAAATTTGTTTTCTGATTATACATATACTACACGTTTCTTTCTCCATTTATTTTTTTCTCTATTTCTGTATTTGTGATTAATATTTTATTTTCCAATTAGTGGTTTTTATATATATTGAATTAATGTTAGTTTTTGTTAATTTTGATTGTTTGGTAACATAATATTAATCTACATTGCAAATATATAAAATAATAAAAAAAATTCGTGTCCCCGCCCTATTCGTGTCCCCGCCCATCCTTGTCCCCATTTTTTTGAAATCACCGTGTCCCGTGTCCGTGTTCGTACTTCATAGCAAAAGAGTGAAAAATGAAAATGAAAAATCAGAAGTGGAAATGATAACTGACCATTAGTTTTGCAATCTATAAATGCGTGTGTTGGATTACATAAGATGATCCGAGTAGGGTGTTGTGTAGGAGCCATGGTTGTAGGTAATTGTGGCAGCCACCATAACAGTCATGATGGTCCTGATGTGGTTCCGAGGTGTAATGGAAGTAGCGTAATGGTGGTGGCATAAGATGATCCGAGTAGGGTGTTGTGCAGGAGCCATGGTTGTAAGTAATGGTGGCAGCCACCATAACAGTCATGATGGCCCTGATGTGGTTCCGAGGTGTAATGGCGGTAGCGTAATGGTGGTGGCAATTGGAACTAGGAGTTTTTTGTTTACTGCACAACTTCAAAAACTTAGCGATATGCATGTTTTTATTTTAGAATTGCATTTAGTAGGGTTTAAAATGGGTTTTGTTTAATTTTTAAACAGGATCCAATACTTGTACTGATTTTTACACTAGTTTTAAATCTATGGAAAATTTTGCTTTTGTTGGATGTAGTTATCTTTACTATTCAGATTATACTAATAGAACTTCTCCCTTCTTTTGAAAAAAAAGAAAAGAAAAGTAAAAAACAAAATTCATGAAATATTTTAAAGATTAAAAATGATAGTATCATAAATATAAGTTCATAATACAAAATGTCAACATACTAGTGTAACGGTGGATGATAAGACATCTAAATTTTGTTAAACAAATCAAACTTAAAACCAAATAAACCATAAGTTAATAATTAAAGAATCAAATGATGATGTAATGAAAGATTCCCGATCAAAAAAGAAGTAATGGAAGTTTGGAAGAAAAAAGAAAAAAGAAAAAAGAAGGATCACTAAGTTCATTTAAAAGTGTATTTTATGAACCCCAAAACCTTTAAAAATGCATTTTATGAACAAATTTCTTTGTAGTCTAGCTCCTTAGTTTCATAACCTTGACTTTTTAAAGGGTTAATAGCATAGCTCAGGCTCAGGTAAATTTTTTTTTTCTTTTCTTTTAATCAAGTTGCCAATTACAGTCACCATCACTACCATCGTCGTCATTAAAACCGCACCCAAGGCAATGAAACCATAATAGATTGTTGTGACATTTAAAGTTTTCCTTCTCTTGCTTCTGATAAAATTTTATTTGTTCTGCAAACTAGTCATTTTATCGTTTTGTTCTTTTAACCTTTACACCATCAAGGATACTTTTGCGGCAATCAACTTTTTTTCTAATTTGCATATTTATATATTTTGTCTCTCTTAATATGTGTTGTCTAACATTCTTGAATCTTGATTATTGATCAGAATATGGTGCAAACTTATTTAGTGTATATAGTGATATTGGTTTTACATTCATACCTGTTGAGTTAGAAACATCAAATATCATAGATTATTTCGTTATGTTTATAATTGGAGCCCATTTTGGTTTTTGTAGTGTTGAATCTGTGTATGCTTACTATTGTGTAAAGGATTAGTGAATAATTTTGAAGAAACAGCATTACTTTTGCTTCACATGGTATTTTGTACATTCAGTGGAGGATTTGTGTTGAATTCTAGGGGAAAACTATGACCAGAATCAGTTCTTTGGGGTTTTGAAATGTCCTCAAGTGTTTCTTTTGTTGATTAATTTGATGGCTGTTTTGGCTGCTGCATTGGATTCCCGATAAGTACTTCTTCGTTGCAGAATACAAAAGCTGATAAACTCCCAGAGGATGTTCTCACTGTAATTGAAGCCCCACGCCAGTCGGATTTGATGATAGAGCTGATTAAAAAGTTGAAGCCACAGGTGGTAGTTACTGGAATGGCTCAATTTGAGGCCATTACTAGTTCTGCTTTTCAGCACCTTTTAGAGACTACAAGGGAAATTGGAGCTCGTATTTTCTTAGACATATCAGACCACTTTGAGCTATCCAGTCTCCCTAGTTCCAATGGGGTTCTGAAATATCTTGCAGGAAATTATCTGCCCCCTCATGCATCAATTATATGTGGTTTATTAAAAAATCAGGTATTTTTTCTTTTAATTTGAGCAACTGATGTAATTTGGTAGTAGCAGGTGACAGTTTTCTATGTGCTTAAACTAAACTAGAGAGTCCTTGAAATGATTTCAGATTCACTTTTACCTGTTTAATGGATGAATTACTCTTCTAATATTGGTAGCCAATTTCTCTTTCCAGGTTTATTCAGATTTGGAAGTGGCTTTTGTGATATCTGAAGAGGAGAGCATGTTCAAAGCATTGTCCAAGACTGTGGAACTACTAGAAGGGAATACTGCACTAACTAGTCAATACTATTATGGTTGTCTTTTCCATGACCTTCTAGCCTTTCAGCTTGCTGATCGACATCCACCTGCAGAGGTTAACTTTCCTTACGCTCCTACTTTAATTTTAAAGATAATCGTTCCTAATATTCTTTTGATTATCTTGTAGGTGTAAAAGCTATTCTTCTTTGATAATTTAACTCTTCGTTGTGGGCCACTTGGGATTTTTATATTAAGCTTGACAGAGTTCATTTTGGAACGTCGTATCTATTTCCTATTTCTATTTAGGAGCTCTCTGCAATTCCCACTCCCTTTAACAAAAATTAGATAGTCCTTATCTGATGGTAATCCTTTATCCATATGATTAAGTGTGCCATCAAAATTTCAAAAAATGTGTATTTTCTATGCAACATTTTATGATCTGTGTAGGCTTACCTGATTGGAATTTTGAACAGAGAAGACATTTATTTTTATTTTTTATTTTTATTTTATAACTGAATTAGTGGACCATTTGGAATGCACAAAGATTCTATATGTAAAAATTTAAGCTTTTAATGTTAAAAACACTTAAAGTTCCCATTATTACTACTGCTACGTTTTTTTATCACTTAATTAATGTTTAAACATCTAAACATATATATATATATATGTACTATTTGGGCCTTTTTTTTTTTTTAATTTTTATATATTTTATTTTATATAATGTTAAATGAATGCTTTTTTTTTTAATTTTTATATATTTTATTTTATATAATGTTAAATGAATGCCAATATGTCCATAAAAGTGAATGTGTAGCTTGTTACATATTATTTTGAGCAGCTCTAAAAAATCTTGGTAAAAAACCTTCTCTGTAATTTCTAGAGAGTATATTCAGAATTGACTCTTCATCTTTGTCCTTTAGAGAGAAGGTGACAAGGTGAAAGCTGGTGGAATGATCGGATTTGCTAGTTCCGCCATCTCAGTCCTTGATCATGCTGAGTTGTCAATAACTGAGACAGATAACTCTTCCCTAATTCATATGGATGTGGATCAAAGCTTTTTGCCTATACCTTCTCCTGTCAAGGCTGCTATTTTCGAAAGCTTTGCAAGGCAGAATGTAGCGGAATCAGAAACTGATGTAACAACAAGCATCAGACAATTTATCAAGAGCAATTATGGCTACCCAACCAATAGTAACACAGAATTCATATATGCAGACCGTGCACTACCTCTTTTCAATAAACTTGTCCTCTGCTGTATCCAAGAAGGTGGAACTTTGTGCTTCCCAGCCGGCTCAAATGGGAATTATGTTTCTGCTGCTAGATTTCTGAAAGCAAATGTTATGACTATTCCTACCCACTCTGAAGCAGGGTTTAAGTTGACAGAAAAGATACTTACCGGTGTATTCGAGGCTGTGAATAAACCATGGGTGTATATTTCTGGTCCAACAATCAACCCAACTGGCTTGATTTACAGCAATGGAGAGATAGAAAGCACATTGTCTACATGTGCTAAATTTGGGGCAAGAGTTATAATTGATACTTCATTCTCAGGATTGGAATTTGACTGTACGGACTGCGGTAGTTGGGAGTTGGAGCACAGTTTAGCAAAACTATACATTTCTGGCAAACCAACTTTTTGCGTGTCTCTGCTTGGAGAACTGTCTCTGAATATGCTTACTGGAGGGCTCACATTTGGGTTTCTAGTTCTAAACCAGCCTTTTTTGATTGATACATTCCATAGCTTTTCAGGACTAAGCAAACCTCACAGCACTCTTAAATACACTCTGAAGAAGTTGCTGGATCTTAGAGTGCAGAGAGCAGAGAACCTATTGGATGCCATTGCAGAACAGAAAAAACATTTGGGAAGTAGATCTAAGCGCTTGAAAGAGGTAAGGATTAAATCTATCAAGTGCTTTCCATTTGTCTTGAGCATTCCTGTTATTTGGTTTTTTTCCTATTATTATCAGTATTTTAATTCTTTACACCAGACATGGTAAGTCTAAGCTTCTTCTTGTGATTTCTGAATCTAATTAAAATCTGTAGAACTAAATATTCATGAAAATAGTCAAATGATAACTAACTTCTTGTTGCATCAACCTTCTCATTCAAATCATGACCGGGGAGGAGAGATGATTTCTCGCTAGAAAATAAATCCAAGTTGTCCAAGGACTTATTGAGTGGGTTAGTGTTGGTAGACATACCCTTTCAAGCGGTCAACAGTAAGATCCCTCCTTTTGCCGTGAATTTACCTCCAAATCATGTGATCTAAAACCAATGTGAAATTTACCTCTATGACTCTTGTTAGACTGCAAATCTCATGCCTCATGTAATATCTCTGAGTGACAAGACCATTTCTTGTCATTTAATGAAAATAAATAAATAAAAGTCTTCTCAACCATCCTATGAGAGGCAAGGAATAATCCTTGACAATAGTGCTACGTGGCCTGACAATATGAGTTTCCAGTAACCCTCCATTACCAATGCTGCGGCGTAGCATAGGAGCATATGAGACCTTAGTGGATTCTATAATACCAACTATACAAGTCGGCCCTGGAATGCCTGGGGAGCACCTATCAAAAATTCTTAAATTTTTCCCTTGGAGAATTTTTTTTGGAAAATAAGAGATGTTACCTGGGCAGCTTTTGGGAGAGCAAAGTAGGAAGAACAACTTTTGATTGATTCCAGAGGCAAACTTTCCAAATCTCTAATAATGAAGTCAGAAGGATGATAAAAAGTCATAATCTAATAAGGCTCATTTAAATATTATCATGAAATTTTTTTAGCAATTTTTTGTCAATTATAAAGCCGATAGGTTTGCCCTCAAGGGAGAAGAGATGTTCTCCGGGCATATTCTAGGAGACAAAATTGGAAGAACTACTTCTGATTGAATCTAGAGGCAGGATAATAAAAGAAGTCATAATCTAGGAAGTTCATATAAGTTTTATCATGAAAAATTTTAGCATCTGTTTCCAATTATAAAGCCAAAAGGTTAGCCCTCATGACATTGTATTATTATAATTTTTTGTCTCCTTTCCGAATTCATGAAGTGCAATACTTAGAAAATCAGTGCATGGAAATAACCAGAGAAAATGGTCATGCCAGGGAAAACAAGTGCCCCAAAGAGAAAGGATTATAAGGAAGTCAACATGTGAGACCTGCAGGCATCAAGCCTTTTTGGACCTGGTTTGGAGCTTGTTTTCTAGTATTGACCTTCATGCTCCAAATCAAGCTAAAGCCTTTATTTTGGGAAACCTTCAACTTCTTAGGTCTATTATCTAGAACTAGAAGAGATGAGAAACAAGACATGTCCTTGAGCATACAAGTACAGAACATGGAATATGTATCAAGTTGAAACAAGTTCATCAAGTCCTCCAGTGTCATTGAAGTTCCACAAGACATTTGAATTTTGAGGTTAAGAACTAATGGAATAAATAGTTTGAGAAGGATTATCAATTTAACAGAATCTTCAACCTGTTCTTTTATCCTAAATCGGAAACTTCAGTCAAGATTAGGATATTTCATAATAATTGTTGTGATCCCCTAGATGTGCAATTGGAGATGTTGAAAGCCTAGAAGGTAAGTGCTCTTTAAAAGAGCAATCACACCACCACAAGTGCTTTAGGCTCCGTTCAGTTGTCAGAAATTTTGTGTGAGAAAAATGTAGTGAAGGAAAGGAAAGGAAACTTGTTTTCCGCTGTGTGTTCATTTTTCAGGAAAAGGAAAGTATATTGTTGAGTTTCTTGCAAAATCTAGTATTTTTTGCAAGACATGTTTTCAAGGAAAATTTATCCTAGTGGGATAGTTAATAATATGAGTCTCACAACTTTCTTGCTAACTAAACATGGAAAAAATTATGGGAATGTTGATTTTCTTGTACTCTATTTCTTTTCTTGACAACTGAATGGAGCTTTAGGAAAATGAATTTAGTGGCATGAACGGAGGTTAGGCTTTTCTTAGCATTGGTTTTCCAGGGACAGAGGAGTTTCTCTGCTAGCAAATTGTGCCTCAACCATTGTTGTTAACACTATATTTGTGTTTGATTTCTAAGTTCCACGTGCCAGAAAGAGCTTTGTTGTCTTAGAAAATCTTCACAATCACTTTCCAATGAGAAAAGAAAGTGAAGTACAGGAAAACAACTCTCCCATAAATTTTTCCATGTTCAGTTGGCAAGAAGGTTGTGGGACCCATATCTTTAACTTTCCCACTGCGATAAGTTTTACCTGAAAGCCTGTCGTGCAAAAAATACAAGATTTTGTAGGAATCTCAACAATTCACTTCCCTTGTCTTGACAAATGAACATGTAGGAAAATAAGTTTCCTTTTCCTTTCTTTTACTTTCTACACTTTTTTCTGGGAACACACAAAATTCTTGACAATTAAACGAAGTGTTAAGAGTCCATTTCTAAACCTCCAAACCCTCCAGTCTTATGATGAGACTCCTAATATCATCTAAGGTGATTGCTGCCACCCACTAATGAGATATCATTAGTTGCTATGTTTTTTTTGGTCGACAACAAATGAGATATCATTAATGAAGAACTGTATTACAAAAAAGTGGTGTACAAGGAGTCCACCAAAGTAAGAACGAAAGAAAATAAAAGAGGAAAAAAAAAAAAAAAAAAAATTAAAGTCGACCTACTAATTGCACACCGCCATCCAATCCCTAGAAATAAAAAATAACTGAATCCTTTTAAAATGAGTAAATACTGAAGCCCAAAAAGAGACATACTCTACCCCATAAAAAGTCAACATCCTCAAATTCATCATAAAAAACCCTAGCATTACAGGAAGGTTCTATGCATAAATAGTTATTGACAAATAGTAATTGACGTTAGCTAAGACCAAAAGAACTAACCTAGAATATCCATCACCAATACCTATCTCTCTTCCTAAATATTAAACTCATACATGCTACATTTGTATGTGCGAAAATGTGCGTTGAGTTTGCGTTTGTGTTTTGGTTTAGTTTTTTATTATATTTTACTATCGTTATTATTATTTATTTGGTTTTGTATTTATTTTTTTTGATATGTTGGTTTGGGTACATTTTTTCACTGTTTAAAGGATTTAGGACAAAGCAATGCTTGCGGTAACCCTTGCATGATAGAGTGGTCTTGAGGTCACATGATGTTTCCATGATACTCTATGAAGGACTTAGATATGTTATGATTGGTGTGCCTGGGAAAATGAGAACTGGTTTTAAAATTGCTGCTAACATGAATTTTGACATTTGATTCCCTAAGGCACTTAATATACAACATTTTTTTTTATAAACTTTCAACATCGAAAGTTTTATTATTCAAAAAATGGAGACAATTATTTGTATTTGCATGATGTTGCATGGGGATCTTCATTGATGTTGCATCATTACACTGCTTGTATTTCTTATACAAAGGGGACCCTCATCTTCAACTAATTACTGACAAACTTCTCAGTCATTCTGGATCAATTATTTATATTTTTATGTAGGTTAGCTAACAGCATGTAACTGGATCTAAAATATTAAATAAGCAAATGGAGATATGTTTAAAAGCTTGTTATTAAACGCACTGCTTCCTTCTTTCTGTGACAGACTGCGTGAAAATTGGATAGTTCATATAATTTACATTTCTCACTCCATCTGTACTGATAATTGCACTCAAAATCTGCCAAACTAAGTTATCTTGGCCCTGCATTGGCAAAGGCTTTAGTACGGAAAATGTTTTCTACCATTCAAAAGTGATTTTTTTTTTCCGCCTAATGGTTGTTTGGCATTATTTGGGTCACAATCATCTTATTTGAGTCGCATTATCTCTTATTTAGGTCACATCAGCTTTCTACCACATCACTTCAATCCCAACTCACATTTCACATTTTTTCATAAAAAATAAAAAGTAGACCATAAAAAAAAATTCCGTGGAATTTTGTTTTCCTCCGAACCAAATACCAGAAAATATAGAAAATATTTTTTGCCAAAACAAACAAAGCATTAGAATTAGCTTGTTTGGTGCTTGTTTAGTACTGTAACTTTTTTTATCACACAATCTCATGCAATTTCCTTGTGATGCTTGTGCCATAGACTTTAGAGAATTGTGGATGGAAGGTGATTGAAGCACTTGCCGGTGTTTCCATGGTGGCAACACCGTCTGCCTATCTGGGCAAGACTCTTTCGCTCAAAGGAGATGCCAATTCTTTTCAAGCCAAGCTTGAGGACTCAAATATCCGAGAAGCCATAGTCAAGGCCACAGGGCTATGCATCAACAGCGCTTTGTGGACTGGAATTCCTGGCTATTGTCGCTTCACAACTGCCTTGGAAGACAGTGAAAATTTCCGTGGAATTTTGTTTTCCTCCGAACCAAATACCAGAAAATATCGAAAATATTTTTTGCCGAAACAAACAAAGCATTAGAATTAGCTTGTTTGGTGCTTGTTTAGTACTTTTACTTTTTTTATCACACAATCTCATGCAATTTCCTTGTGATGCTTGTGCCATAGACTTTAGAGAATTGTGGATGGAAGGTGATTGAAGCACTTGCCGGTGTTTCCATGGTGGCAACACCGTCTGCCTATCTGGGCAAGACTCTTTCGCTCAAAGGAGATGCCAATTCTTTTCAAGCCAAGCTTGAGGACTCAAATATCCGAGAAGCCATAGTCAAGGCCACAGGGCTATGCATCAACAGCGCTTTGTGGACTGGAATTCCTGGCTATTGTCGCTTCACAACTGCCTTGGAAGACAGTGAATTTGAGCGTGCATTGGATTGCATCATCAAATTCAAAAAGCTCATCAACAACTGAAAAACATTTTGTCGTACCCTCCTATCAGATTCTTTGTTTTCACGAGTTAGCTGTTGTGGAGTGAATTAATCCTCCCATTGTTGAGTTCCAAAACCAATTTTTTGAGATTTTTACACAATTTTGTGCTCATTGAGATTTCAATTGGCCATGCATGTCTCTACTGAATTACTAATGCCATCTCGATCACTTGGTTGTGGCTTTTGCGATGTCCAACAAAGTAGAGCTGTTTGAAACATTTTTGCCATTCATATAATAATGAAGGTATGTCTTCCCTTATTTATTTTCGTTTGTTCATGTAAATTTCTTACAGAAATTAAAGAGTTCACATCTACATTGAATAGGTGCTACATACAAAGAAACACACAACTGCTTGTTGGCTCATCAAACTAGTGTTCATGTGACGCTTCTATTGTGGTTGTTGATGTTATCTTTTACAACCGATTATTAGCCATGTTTGGTAGTAATTATAAGTCAATTTATCTGTCAATTTATCTAGTTTATTTGATTAAAATAAGTAAAGTAATGGTGTTTGGTAGCAATTTTAGATTGTCGTTTGGTTTTGGCTTTTTTAGTTGGTTTTTTGCCTTTTTTAACTTTTTTTTAGCCTGAGACTTTTTTAGTCGTTTGGTATTCTTGTTTGGCTTTTTTGACTTTTTGGCTTTAGAATGACAAAATTGCCCTTAGTATAGAATGATGCTTTTTTGACTGTTTGTTTGTACATGAGATAATTTGGTACTTTTGTAGCTTTTTTGTCTTTTTGTGATTTTGTAACTTTTTTTTTTGTCTTTTGTGATTATATAGCCCACAATGAAAACCAAATGAAGGCTTAACTTATTGACTTTTTCAGTTTATTTTGTCCAAATAAATGAGATTTTCTTAAGTCATAATTTATCTCTCTTTTAGCTTAATTGAAACCCTTATTATAGACAAAAGGGCCCTATCTCTTTTGCTTTAATTATAAATTTTTATCACATTTTAGATATTTGGACAACAAAAAAATTATGTGATTACTTATTGAACTAAACATGTTTTAACTTTTTTTTTTTTTAAAACATATTATGAGAAGTTGCAGTTAATAGATTTACAATTTATTTTAAATCTTTTTAAGTTAATAATCTAAGATGTTATAATCATAAAATGTTAATTTATAAGTGATACTAAACGGGTCATTGTCATTCAATAAAATGCTATTATTTTGTCCAAAAAAATGAGATTTTCTTAAGTCATAATTTATCTCTCTTTTAGCTTAATTGAAACCCTTATATTATTATAGACAAAAGGGCCCTATCTCTTTTGCTTTAATTATAAATTTTTAGCACATTTTAGATATTTGGACAACAAAAAAATTATGTGATAACTTATTGAACTAAACATGTTTTAACTTTTTTTTTTTTTAAAACATATTATGAGAAGTTGCAGTTAATAGATTTACAATTTATTTTAAATCTTTTTAAGTTAATAATCTAAGATGTTATAATCATAAAATGTTAATTTATAAGTGATACTAAACGGGTCATTGTCATTCAATAAAATGCTATGTTTGGGAATTGAAATGTGCAGAGCACCCAGGGTCAAAATCTTGGCTCCTCGTGGGATTGTTTGCTCACATTTCGGTACCTTATTCTTGATAGAGGCATGTTACTGAAAAATGCCAATACTTCAATGAAACGCATTTTGAAATATAGTACAGAAACACTAATGTTCTTAAATGGCAACTAAAATGTAAGGTGAGTGGAATTTTGACTAAAGAAAATGTTAAAAATGAGTCATAATATTTATAAAAATAGTTGTTATATGTTTAATTTGAAAAAAAAATATTTCTTCCGTCCCAAAATATTAGTCCCTTATTTCATTTTTTATTGTCCCAAAATATTAGTCCCTCTTTATAAATCAAGTACAAAAATAATGTAAATTTTTTATTTTGCCCTTCTTTTAAATTAATAAACAATTTAAAAAGTACAATTATGACATTGATATTCCTAAAAAATGTACTATCAAAAGGGTAATTTTGAAAAATTAATTTTTTTCAAATACAATAAGTGTGCTACTAAAAAAAGTTGAATTCCTCAAAAGGGATCAATATTTTGAGACGGTGGGAGTAACGTTTTATGGGATGCGTGCTAATAATATGCTAAATTCTTATACTGTAGTTAATGCTAGTCACATCATCGTAACAGGGTTTGGAATTAGCGGGGAATATGGGTGAGGTATTGGGGGTGGCGAGAAAAAGTAGAGGGATTGAACATGGCGGGGGTGAAGTTGCAGTGATTTTGGAATTTTTTTTTCAACCGCGCTGCATACCCCCAGTGGGGGTCGCGCCCCCAGTGACGTGGCGCGCCCCCACTGGCCGAAAACTTAAAAAAAAAAAAAAAAGTTTTTTTTGGGCCAATCCCCCAATGACGTGTCACTGGGGGTCGCCCCCCAGTGGAAGTAGGGAGCATTTTTGAGTGTAATTTATCTAAAAAGAATAATGCTTGGGATCCCCTTTTGGGGGTCACCCCTCACCCCTTTTTTTTTTTTTTTTTTTTTTTTTTTTTTTTAAATTTTGTGGATTAAAAATCAAGTAATGAGAAGTCTAGAAACACCAAAAAAAAAATAAATAACTAAAAAATACAATATTTTGTGACTTTTTGACATTCCTGACCTCTTTTGAAGTTTTCAACAATTATAGAAACTTTTTTTATAATTGTTAAAAATCTAAGGAAAGATGAGTATTTTCCATTGATTTAATAAAATGGGTAAGGATGAATTTTTAGGCCCAAGCTTAGGAGGGAACAGGGATTGCGATTTCTTCATTAAACTGTGTAATGCAATGCATTTTTCTTCTTTAAACGGCATCGATTTTCTTTTCTTTTTTCTTTTTTGAAATTGAGTCAAGGTGTTTTCATCATAAATGATGAAAGGATAAATTACAAAGATACCTTTTGATATTTGCTTAAAATATAAATTATCTTGTGTGATTTGAAAAATTATAAATATTCCATTGTAATTTTTTTTTATTTAACACAATTAATCGAAAAAAAATTAAATTCTTAATTGCTCTCCAATATAATAAGAAAATTAATTACCATGATGATTTACTAATAAAAGGGCTTATTTGTTATGAAATTAAAAATTTCAAGAGGCGGGATGTAATTTTTAGAACCACAAGAACAATTTGTATTTTAAACAAATTTCAGAAAAGTATGTTTGTAATTTACCCTCAATGAAAAGATAATAACTAAATAATTCCAACAATACATCTATAAAAATTATATTTAAGTATTTCATTTATTTATTTTTTTACCACAATTTATCATGTGATGTGTCATAATTACATTATTAACATTATATATATATATATATATATATTTATTTATTTAACACAATTAATCGAAAAAAATTAAATTCTTAATTGCTCTCCTATATAATAAGAAAATTAATTGACATGATGATTTACTAATAAAAGGGCTTATTTGTTATGAAATTAAAAATTTCAAGAGACGGGATGTAATTTTTAGAACCACAAGGACAATTTGTATTTTAAACAAATTTCAGAAAAGTATGTTTGTAATTTACCCTCAATGAAAAGATAATAACTAAATAATTCCAACAATACTTCTATAAAAATTATATTTAAGTATTTCATTTATTTATTTTTTTACCACAATTTATCATGTGATGTGTCATAATTACATTATTAACATTATATATATATATATATATTTATTTATTTATTTATTTATATTTAAGTGATATAACTCATTAAACAAGCACAATAATTACATATGAGATGATAAACCAAATATGATAAAACAAAAATAAAAATTGTAAGTGTAGCATTACTCTAAATAATACTATAAGGTCTTATTTGATTAACATGATTAATAGTGAAATGATTAATAATCCCATAAATTAGCGTATGTGTTGCGACCCAAACTTGTCCCAATAAGTTTAGCGTCATGACTGGCTAGTAATCTTAGATTACCTACGGCCTCTATTAAAGAAAATCAATTTAACATGAATTACGAGGCTTAGCGAAAGCAAATTAAAATATAGTAGTCCATTGAGCTGTGCATGTATGAAAAGAGTTCGCATTAACACTGTACAACCATTCTATAGGTAAGTGCATACATCACAAAAGATTTTAAAAACAATATTTAGCCCACAATTTCAAACTTGACAAGTCTTACATACGCAAAACCTTTATACCAAAAACCAAGCTAAGAGTTCATAATCAAAAAGGGGTTTAGACTTTGCTTGGCTCCACACGAGTCCAAGTTGGCTTCTTTACGGGAGTTCCACAAAAGGCTAACCACTGGGTGATTCCGAGGCACTCTCTATCCTTGATGCCCAACTTGCTCACCTACATACATACATAAATAGTGAGCTAATACCCAATGAGTAATAATAGAATAAAGATGTTATATGAATGAAGTTCAATATCATTACAAATGTCATTTTCACATATCCAGTTAACCTTGGCATCAATAACCATTTCATTCAAATCATGTGGCATATCCAGTAGAGTAATAATGCTTTAATAACAATGGGACCGCGAGGGTCAATCAATGTTCAATATTCAGTGTGACCATGAAGGTCTAACATTAGAGATCTCTGTGTTTCAATTATCCAATGGGCCACGGTATTGTTTTCCCTCTGGCGAGGTCCAATGGGCCATGGTATTAATCTCCCCCAGGCAAGGATCAATGGGCTATGGTATTAATCTTCCCCAGGCAAGGGTCAATGGGCTATGGTATTAATCTCCTCCAAGCAAGGGTCAATGGGCAGTGGTATTAATCTCCCCCAAGCAAGGGCCTCACTAAAGGATGCCACAATTACAAATGCAAATGGAACTTCATTCATTAAGGATAAGTAATACTTCAATAAATCATTCAATCATTCATATATCAATTTCGATAACCAATACCATTTTTGAAAGTAACATAACTTGAACATATCTTTATAAAGTTATTACTCACTGTGGGTTTTGTTGTCACTAGGCCTCGGACATCCTCCTATACAAAACACATAACAAAAATTCAATTGGAGTACCGTTCGATAACCATTCCACTTAATTAAATTTCCTCATGTGTTTCTAACTCATTCCATGATTATATGAGCTCAATTGGTGCCTAAGTGTACTTGAAATGACATGAGGATGGAAGTATGCACTTAAAGGAGTCAGTAAAAATTGCTGAAAATAGGGTTTTCGCTCGAGCGCAGCTTTCTTCGCTTGAGTGGAGGTTCAAAAATAAGGGTGGTCGCTCGAGCGGTTTGTAAACTCTGCAAAAGTATTGGTTACATGAATTTTCCGCTCGATGGATGCTCGACGGTCGCTCAAACGGGAGACTGAGTAAAAAGGGTCCTCACTTGAGCGTAACTTTGGTCACTCAAGCGGTCTACA